TCCCCAACACAAAGCGTCCATTGATAGAGTTGTCGGGTAGGGCTGAATCTGCTGACTAAACAAGCAGATTTGATATGATTTCTAGACGCCACAAAGTCACAGATATCGAAAGTTTAAAAGACCATGAAGATATGAAGTCTTTTACAACGATAATATAGATGGCATGAACAATCTGGATGAAGAAGCGAGGTCGGAAGAGCAAAAAATTTGTAATCAACGCACATGTAAGTATGAAACTCGTAACGTGACACCATGGGTTACAGGCACCCTCATAATCCTTTAGGGTAATGATTCAAAAAGAGTAGAGCCCACTCCAGGTCTTCTGCTGGAGGGATTCGGCACTTTTCCCAAGAGTAAGATTCGAATTGGGAATAAAGCCATTTCAGCAACGGCTCTCGAGCTGCGTAGGAAAGTTGGTTTGAATATCGTATTGTGGCAGACACCACGTTCTGAGACTCGTTGTTAACTACAATTTCTTCCCAAGTTCGCTACATTCTTCTTTTTTCTGCACGGCGGGAAGTCAATTATCAATATCTATACATCCATTGCATCCATTTTCAGGTACAAATGTAATGGATATTAGGTAAGCTGGGCGCCGAGGAGATGGATTTAATAGAGATTGGCCACTTATTTGTGGTCAACGTGGCTCAGCAGTGTAGTGGTTCCGAGCCTTGCCAATGGAGGATAAGGATTTCCTCAGAAGTAGGAGGACTTTGTGTATAGGAGGCTTGCGGCCCACGGGCTCCCTATAACTTTCAGGTTCTAGTATGACTCGACAGGCTTGTGTCACGAACTACAATCACAATGGTAGCAAAGTACTCAGCCGTGATTAGCGGTCTCCAAAACGATTTGCTTCTGCCTATCCGTACCAACCATAGTAAGAAATACCAAAGGAGGAAAAGACAAGAATCCCTTGGTTGCGTAGGGCTGTAGGTAAGGATGCGGGGACGAAGATGATGTCGGTCCTTCACCCCGAAAGTGTTGTGTCTATGACGAGAATCATCTCCTC